TAGTCCATCCCCCCTGCAATTGGCAGGGACATCTACAACTAGATCAGGTTGTTCAGAGCCCCATCCAGCCTGTCCTTGAATGTTTCCAAGGATGGGGCATCTACCACCTCTCTGGGCAACCCCTTCCAGTGTTTCACTACCCTCATTGTAAAAAATTTCTTCCTTATATCTAGTCTGATAGGACGTTGCTAGCACACCATCCCTCAAACACTGGTGTGCCACCCCCAGGCTTATCTCTAGTGAGCCTGGCTTTATCCCTTTCCCCCTTCAAATCTAGTTTAAAGCTCTTTCAACGAGCCCTGCTAACTCCTGAGCAAGGATTCTTTTCCCCCTTTGAGACAAGCGTAACCCGTCTGTCACCAGCCGGCCTGGTGTCGTGTAGACCGACCCATGATCAAAAAACCCAAAATTCTGCTGGTGACACCAGGCTCGGAGCCAGGTATTGATCTGCTGGCTCTCCCTCTGCCTTCCCTCATCGTTCCCTGCGATTAGAAGGACAGAAGAGAACACTACTTGTGCTCCCAATCCCTTAACCGGTCGTCCCAAGGCCCTGAAGTGCCTCTTGATTGCCCTCGGACTTCTCGTTGCAACTTCATTGCTGCCTACCTGAAAAACCAGTAAGGGATAGTAACCTGAGGGCCGTACCAGGGTAGGAAGTTTTCTCTTTGCATCTTTAACCCAGGCCCCAGGGAGGCAGCAGACTTCCCTAAGCAGTGGGTCCGGTCTGCATATCAGGCCTTCTGTTCCCTTCCGAAGGGAGTCTCCCATGACAGTGACCCATCTTTCTTTCTTTACGGAAAGAGTTTTGACGCAGGGCGTAGGCTGAGTTTTAACCTCGGCGACACCTCCGAGCCAGATGAACCATTGTCCTCGTCATCGTTCGGTTCTGCTTGCAGAGCCTCACACCTATGACGCAAGGGCACCCGGGAAGGTGGGGTAGTCAGAGAGGAGACACGCCTGCTGCGCCGGGCAGGGACTTGTCACCATTGCTCCCCATCCCTTAAGTCCCCGTGTTCAGCCCGGTGGAGACAGGATAGCGAATCCTCCGTATCACGCGTCCTCTCGCCATCGCCCCCCACATCCCCGCCTGCACCATTAATCCTGCACGAGGTCAGCTTGCGCTCCCGTTACTTGAGCTTCCACCTCCTGCCACACGATCCGTCGTCCCCCGAGCATCGCTCCTTTGGGAGAAGGATGACGGACACAGAGCAGTAACGGGACCCGCTCTGCGCAGGGCTTCTCTCGCAACCAAAACTATCAAAAATCCCTCCCCAGCGCCTTCTGTTTCTAGCTTTACCTAACAAGCTGACACCTAATCGCTCCGATGTACCAACAACCCAAGGGGCACAGCCTTACCCAGGGCAGCAGCACGGCTGAAACCTCCCAGTGATGCCACCACCCCATGGCCCCTGTCTGGCCTCAGCTTCTAACAACTTCTGGAGAGGAATTAGCTCCCTCGTGCTAAAACCAGCCATTTTCCCCCCCTAAACTGAGGGCTGCTGTAAGTACCATCCCCTCCTTTGAAATTAATCATATCAAATTAAGGGAAAATGAAGTGGTGGTGGTCACACCATCTAGCCCAGGTTTGCCCAGAGGGCATCCAGATAATTAGTTTGACTACCCTGGTAATGAGACAGATGAAAAACGACTATGTTGGAACCATAGAAATAGTCTCTCTGCCTGGTTTCCCGCTCCTGGGATGAAGCGGGAGAGCCCAAACACAAGCCAGGGCACTGGCAGAGGACGCAGCCCACCTCTGACCCTCCCAAAGAGGGGCTCCCGTCCGCTTGCGAGTACTTCTCTTGCCCTGTGCAACGTGAATTTTCATGCCAGGAATAGAATTGGAACTGACATTATCACTTACTGAACCACCTACTTATTTTCTAACACTGGGAAAAGCGTCCTTGGGGGGCACCGCTCAAGCCTTGGCGACTCCCCGTGCAAGAGGAACGCATAAATCCATCCTGTCCCATTAACATTCGCTTAATTTCTCCTGTTTCTCCATCCCAACCATGAAATTCAATATTGCTGCCATGACTAACCCATAAAATCGGTCAGCCCTGCGCAGGAACTGCAGCGCCGCTCCTTGCTATGTAATTAAACAGGTCGGCCTTCAAAGCAGCACAGTAGGTTTTCTGACCAGAGCCCCATGTCCTTTTGGGGGAGAGGGCTTCCTTGGCCGGGTCCGTGGCTGGGACACCCATCTGCCGGGACACCCATCCGCCCGTTTCATTGCTACCCACCCCCTTGCTGCAGCCAGCCAGGGATGCTGAGGGTTTCTGCAGGAGGCTCGTCCCAGCCCAAGTGCCATCCCCAGGGGGTCACAGCTCCGAGCCCCAGGTTTGGGAGGGAGGAGACCAGGCTACAACCTGTTTGTGGAGCAGACGTGAAGTCGGGTCACGCCTTCCTGAGCAGCAGGGAAAGCCAGCCCGAGGTCTCCACCTTGGCACTCGAAAAGGAAACAGAAACCAGGTTTGCTCTCCGCGTGATAATCCTGCAGGCAAGCTCCAGCATATTGAATAAACCTTCCCAGAAACGGCGTTTCTGCCATTAGCCCACACGCTCACAGATGTCACCTGGCCAAGAGGCTCCTCGAGTCCTCCAGGCGCTCGGGCACGGTCCCTTCCCGCAGCAGGGCCCAGCAGTAATAAAGCTGTCTGCAACTTCTCCCATCGGAGATTTCCACATCAGAAATCCAGACCACATCCATGCCTTTCCAGCTGGGGCCAGGGAAAATATAATTGCGCTAACACTGTAAGCACGATCCCGAGTCCCAGCCCCAGCAAAGGAGAAGAGGGTGATAGGATGCAGTGCTACAGGATTTTATTTGTTTGTACATTTTGGCCAAACAAGTGAGTAAATTGATAAAAAAAAAAAAAAAAAAAAAAAAAAAAAAAGCAAGAGATGGAATTAGCCCAGAAAAAGGAGCAATAAAGACGCATAAAGTACATGCTGCCAGGGATACAGAAACTGCTTGAGTTACTCCCGCAGAGCATCCTGTGCTGCTCCGGATCCCCGCTCCCTCCCTCTGCAGCAAGCGCTTGTTAGCACAGCACAGGGAAGACGCTCCAGGGGCTTATCGCCAGCTTTACCCCTGTGCTACATGCTGTCGGAAAGGACTGGAAACGCACTGCCGAGGAGGAAAGATGAACCCACCCTCCTCCATCCAGATCATCACAAACCAAACCCTGTGCAGCCAGGCAAAATGAAGGCTGTTACAACTACTGGAACCCCCAAAAGAAATTCCCGCCGGCAAACCCTCTCCGCTTCCCTCTCTGTTACGGCCTGGTGAGCCAATATCTATCTGAACGGGCTGTGTTGCACTTCCAGGCTCAGAGCCAGCAGCGACGACAGATCTCCATATAATTTATCTGCTACTGATATTACACACGACCTAACGCGGGGCGCACGCCGCTGCAGGGGCAGGGATGCCGATGCTGCTGGGCGCGGGGCGTCCTTTAGCGAGGACCGCGGGGCTTCGCAGTGCTGCGAGGTGATCTTGGGAGACGCTCTGGCTGTGGGACACGACCGACACAAACCCGTGA